TCAAATATATTTTATTTTGTTTTTTTTAATTTGTTAATATTAAACACGCATGGAATATCTTTTTTATCGATAAAAATACAAATAGATAAATAATTAAATATCTAAACTTCGTATAGCGACCTAGCCATTATTATTTATCAATACTTTACGGGAAAGTAGAAAAAGTTAAAGATCTACTTTTCTCATTAAATATTTCAATGCAACTTATATACAGTTATATTTAAACTATCGTTCTCAAATTGTTTTCGATCGATCCGTCAAGGTTGCGACACTTAAAGTTACGGTTCAATATCGAACTCTCATTTTATTTCGATCCTATCAAGAGAAATAAAGATTTAAACAACGATCTATATCGTCGTTATAAGCGCATATCGAAGATTATTATCGAAGTAAATAAAAGTGTTTTTGTGTTAAGCAATCCTGAGTAATCGTTATTATCTCGAATTCTTTCAGACGACCTTACCAACACATGTGCATACATTTTTTTATATATCCATGTGTGAATATGCAGACGAATACATTTCCGTAGCATCTATCTTTGTTTACTTTGAAATATACACATTTATCTATACATACGTGTTACGTACAATACACACGTAACGTATTAATGTATGTGTAATATTTCAGTGTGGTAGCGTATTCACAAAAGACCCCATATTGTATCCGTAGGCGTCGACGTATTCGACCAACTTCGACTCTACTCGAGAATTCTCGGCAATGCGAACAACATGGCGTCTTTTCGACCAGATTCTACATAAAATACTTATTATTTTCAATTATCTCAAACGTAAGCTTTTCTTCGAATGTTTTTACCAATTCCACGATTATCCCAACAAAGTCCAATCATGATATTCGATAATTTAGCATTTCCTCTTGAGAATAAATCATGACTAGCGTGAAAATGTCCGGCACAAAACGGCTGCCGTTGGGTCGAGCCATAAACTGCGTTATATTTTCCTTGTATTTATTCCATTAATTGATCGAGTATTTTAACGTAATAAGTTCACAAATGTTGTGTTTAGTTTAACGAACAATTTTTAACGAATCTTTTTCGATGATTTCGTTAAAAACAATAAGACATCACGCGAATAACGTCTACGGGTTATTGTTCATTGTCCAATCCCCAAATATCAAAGGGATATTGGAATTTGTACATCGTTATGTTAAATGATTTAGAAAAGTTTCGATGATTTTTCTTCAGCGATAGTTCTTCTAACGGCACGTTCGAATGATTCAACCTAATTTATTCAAACGATCATAGGATACACATTTGTCATTTGGTCAACACGTGTAACTCGTAAGTTTGTTTTCATCTTTTGTGTGCATTAATGTATACGCGATAGTGTACGATTAGATACTATTCTTTTTAGTTTCCTTTTCCGTAATTGTTATTGCATTATTTAATTATATCCAAGAATCATAATGTCTTATATAATTCAAAGAAAAATACTTCAACCTTACTCTTCGATCTCTTACGCAAATTCATTTTATCAATTATAGTAACAAAGTCTACCAACATTATTTTTCATTTCTAATTTGAACAAGATTATGTAATAGGTTTATCTCGAAAAGATAATAATTACTTTATTAACGCTAACGCGAACAGTAAGACTTACGATAGGAAATAAGACGCCATTTGTTTTTCGATATCTATTTTTCTTCCTTTAATTCTAAACAATTAACGTACCACACTAAAATCAATTTAAGTTCTAAAGTAAAAAATCTACGAAATAAATGATATATATATATAAAAGAAATACTTGAAGAGAATCAATATCGTATCGTTCAATATTTCGTTCCCATAAGCGTCTATTTCCGCTTTGTCTTCCAAATAATCTAACAAGATGGGCAACTTTTTGATTAAAAAAAGAACTACGTAGAGATATATTAAACATCAATTCGGATACATGATATTGTTAACATACATAAGTTAACAAAGAATTGCAAGAGTATTCAAAAAGTATCTTTGAGAATAACAAAATATTTCTCGCGTCGCTTATGATTGACGATATTATACCCACAATGCGAGAGCAATTACCGGAAGTTGAGAAAGAACAGTTAAACGTCGCATATGCGCAACGCAATTACGAATAGGAAAATATTACAAATATCTGCTAAGATACTGGTTTCCAATGGAAGATAATTATTTCTAACAATGAGCGGCAATTTACCGATGCGAAATTATAGATGTTAATATAGTCATTTCTCATGAGGCACCATTTTGGCCTCGGGGGGGATAAATTGGAGAAATATATAAAGATAAAATAATAATAAATTAATTGTCGATCGCGTGTATACGTACAGGTGTGTTTCATCGGCAAGTCTTCTCGTGTTTAGAAATAATAATAATAAGTTATCGATAAATTTAGTTTCCTTTTTTCGTTCCGACATAAAGGTACAATAGAACCTTTTAGAAAGTATAGGAAGGTAGCGACGTTGGGGATCGGTCAAAGGAAGTATTCGAGGTCAGAGAGGGTAAAAAAGTGAGGCGGCGGAGGGAGGGAAACTGACGCTGCGCGAGTAGCCTGTCGGTGGAGCCGCAATTGCGCTCTGGGCTGTGGGCGTGGCCAATTGGGCGGGGTTAACCGCCATTTGCGAGCTCCGGCCACGCCCACTTGGACCGCCCCTAAAAACAACGATCGAACGTGGAGTCGTGAATGCCCGAGTAGAGGTACCCTAAACGGATTACCTCGTTCCACGGCCGTCCCTTTCCGTATCGAAACAGCAAACTATCCGCGTCGTCGCCGATCGATCGGTTCGTTCGTTCTTCGACCCCCTCGACCCCACCCCTAATCCCTTGTCCCTTCCTCCACTTCCTCCTCATACACCATCGTTCCTACACTATTACTCACGTAGAATGTCAGCGGCACGGCTGTGCGCGCGCGCGCGCGCACGCTCATACCCATCTAAATACGTACACGCATACACAGAAATCTAAGTTACGCTGCTAGTAACTCGTGCTAGCCCTCGAAGCCCGTACCCTCCATCCGCCGTTGCCCCTCATGATTCTTCGAAAGCCGCAGCACCAAGATTACATGCCGTCGTGATTCTCTCTTCTCAGACCGCTAACTGCAACCGCTTTCCTACGCGGTATTTGCGATATCGTTCCAAGTAGTGACTCTAACAAATATGGCGCGATACCGTTTTCTTCTACCAAATACGTGGATAGGATTTGAATGGTTTATATAACTTGCGACATTAATTAGAAATGGTTTAACGATCGTGAATAGGATGATATGATGTTTAGGAAGAAGAGGTAAAGATCAGTCTCTCTACTAAAGGGATCATTAAAAAATAGATTTAATGGCGTCGATAGGTTTTCTAAGGGAGTCTTTGTAGTTACTATATGCGAATCCTCGTGGGGTGGTTATGCATGGAATGTAATAACCGGGCTCATCCTACCATGGGGGGTGTAAGCATATTCGAGAAGTAATAATACGCAGTAGCGTTGTAGGTTTTCTAGCGAGAAAACGACAGATGTTTTCTAAATGAGTAATCACGGTAACGTCGCTGTTATAGTTTTTTTTTTTTTAAACATTATTCGATAAAATTCAATTTAAACTGATGCGAACGGACACACTTTCGGTATATTACGTAAGCTTTTCAAATGAAACTGTACTGTACAAAGATAGAACGTTAGACAAATTGAAGATTAACCACAGTCAACAGAATCGCTAAGACACGCGATCCGTGAACTCATCGGAAGCTACGTAAAAGTTATGCGAGCTCACGAATTATCAATAGTTAAAAACATTCGATAGAATTGTTCATACTACGAAACCTACCCGTAAGACGTTCCCCTATTATCCAATAAAATCATCCTAAAGAATGACGGGATATCGAAACATTGTGCATTAGTATCATCGCAAGACTGTAGATACGATAAAATGACTCGCGGTCATATGAAGAAAGTTTTCGATCTAGAGTCAAAGGAAAAACGTTGCTCGTTGTTCGCGTAGAAAACTTACCGACACTTTCTCGACCCACATACCTTTGAAGAATGCTTCCAATTTCGATAACGTACAAACCCGTTAATCGATCCTATCTGTCGTAAATGTATTCGTATTTTGATCAAATTCAAACAGTAGACTCGTACACATATCTTAATACCTGTACGAACACATACGTATACTGTTTGCGATCTTATAATCGTAATAAATGACAGCAAAGGAACAGCAAACCCGTTATCGGCAACTCAGGTTTTCAAATTCGATTGATAAACGGATAGAGCGCAAGGGGACTGGTTTTGGCGCAAGCGTACTGATGGTCATCATCAAAGTTCGAGCGTCATAAGCGCGAAACGATCGTCGGTGGAAACGGTTAAAGGAAATGGGAATATCGATTTAGCGATCTTTAGCGTTTATTAGTGAACGTCATGTATATATATATATATGGTGGAAGGTTAGGTGACTGGCATGTTGGTCATATCATAGTAGTGTTAAACAGTAACCGTCGTCCATTGCGGTATCGTTAAAGTAACAAGAAAGATCTAGAAGATCAATCGTTCTGTAATTTGGATTCCAACTGAACGAACGAATGAAGGAATGAACGAACGATCGATAGGTCGATCGATCGGCCGATCGATCCAACAGGAAACCACAAGAGCTGACTAGAAAGAAGATTTAAAAGGATTAGAAAGGGAAAAGGGAATGTGAACCGCGCCCACGAAGATAAATCGGTGGAAAGGCAAAGAGGTGGCGTTGTTATCGGTCGGAGGGGGACTACCCGGAGAGTGAAAAAGATAACAAAAAGAAGAGAAAGAAGAGAGAGTGAAAGAGAGAAGAGAGAAGAGAGAAGAGAGAGAGAGAGAGAGAGAAAACGACATCGAGTAAGTAGTGTTGGTCGTTGACGTTGGCGTTCGTAGACAATCGTTAATTTTCGTATGAAGTCGGGTTTGCGAGGCGGGGTTTAGGCGGGGTCGATACGCGACCTAGCGCGTTTTCTCTTCGCTTCCGTACAGCGTCGTTCTAATCGCAGAGCCGTATCGAAAAGCGAACAGTACTACTCGGCTAGTATCGCCGTTGCTCGGCGCCACCGCCGACGCCACTGTGTGCTCGCGATTCTCGTCCTCTCCCTGAGAAGAGTGAGTACAACTACTTTCTCGATTCTCATCGCGATATCTATCGCTCGTATCGGCTCACGCTTTCTCTCTCTCTTTCTCTCACACACACACACACTCTCTCTTGTTCTCTTCTCGGGGACTAGAATCGAGCGTTGCCAAGAGATTAAAAAGAGGAGACGAACGAGAGAGAGAGAGTGAGAAAGAGGGAGGGTGGGAGGTAGGGGGTAGCCAAAGAGAGAGAAAGATAGATAGCTAGATAGACAAAGATAGAAAGATAGAGAAAGAGAGAGAGAGAGTAACCGTGCGGGGAATAGTCAACGCAGAGTATTTACCGAGGCTACACTCTTTCTCGTCTACTCTCCGCGTTGCTACGTAGATCTCACTGTGTGCTGGGAGGGGAAAGGAAGGGAAGGGAATGGGTGGGGGTTTGGGGTGATTGAGGTGGGAGGGTGGGCCGAGGGTCTGAGGGGAAGCTAGGTATAGTAGGAGGAAAATTGCGAGCGCGAGGGTTCGGTGTGCGCGCGCGCGTGAGCGCCCTTTAGCCCACCGCCACCGCCACCGTCACCGCCAACGCCGTCACCACCGCCGTCACCGTTGCCGTCGTTCGATCGTCTCCTCGGCCGGCGTCGCGACGTCGACGTCGACGACGACGAGGACGAGGACGAGGACGACGAGGACATAGACGACGAGGATACAAACGTGGACACAGGGACAAGGACAGGGGACATATTAGGATTCGAGGATTAGAGTCGTGTTTGTCTCTCGGTGAATTTAGAGTTCGGTTTAAAGATAATTCAGAAAATTTCGATCTGCCGGCGTGAGATTTATAAAACAATGTCGGAAGTATTATTTCTCTCGGAGGAGGAGGGATGGGGGTGTGTCGGCGGGGGGTATGACAAGGAGGAAGAAAAAGAAGGATAATATCGTTAGTTCGTATCTCTCGTTGAGAAGAGTTCGCTCTCTTTCTCTCTCTGTCTCTCTCTCTCTCTCTCAGTGCTACTACTTTTTTTTTTTTTGGAAGAAGAAGAAGAAGAAGAGGAAGAAGAGAAACGTTTAAAGTCGGCAGAAGAGGAAGAACGAGGCGGCGAGAAGAAGAAGAGATCGTCGGGGACAACGGAGATAGGTGATCGTCGACGGCAACGTTGAAACAGGGACAACAACACAACGAGTTGCGTTGGAAGGTAAGAAAGGATAACGATGGTGGATGGTGTTGGATGGTGAGGATGAGGAGGAGGAGGAGGTGGAGAAAGAAAAGAAGGAGGAGAGGTGATTGCTAGGGAAAAGAAGGGAGGGAGTTAAAGGCAAGCACAATACAGTAGTCAGTCCTCTCTCTTCCTCTCTGTTTTCTCGGTGACGATGACGAGGACGGTGACGATGGTGATGGTGGCGGTGGTGGCGGCGGTGTGACGGTGGCGGTGGCGGTGTGGCGGTGGTGGTGGCGGTGGTGGCGGAGAGCAACGTTGCCACCTCCTCTCCTCGGGTGGCGCAGCACACGCGAGAGAAGCGCCGATACGGTGACGGCGAGCGAGAAGACCGTCGTTGCCACGTCCGCCGCTCTCTTGTGCGCGCGCGCGCGCGAGCGCGCGGCTCGCGCTCCTTCTTCTTCCTTTCCTCTTTCTATTTCATCACTCTCTTACTCTTATTACGTTTCTACTACTTTACCTTCTGCTATGCGTTGTTCTTCGTCCTATCTTTCAGTTCTTTCTTTTTTTCCTTCTCTTTCTCCTTTTCACTCCCGGCGCCACCTCCTCCCACTAGTCTTGTATACACCGTGGCGTATACTCTTGGCATATAATACTTAAACCCACACATACATATATATATATATATATATACATACGCATACATAATACAAACCAGCGTTTTCTTAAGCTGTCGTGCGTAGCACGCCTGTAACTCTCCTCGACCACGCGATATCTTCGTGGTAGTCGTGCGAGTAGCCTTCGTAAGATTATATGTGCCTTTATGTTAGTATTCGTCGGTAGCGGTGTGGGATCCCGTTGCTACGCCAGTAGCGTCGACAGCGTAGACGTTGCACTCTCTCTTTCTCTCTCACTCACTCACTCACTCACTCACTCACTCTCTCTTTCTCTCTCTTACTCTTTTGTATTTGTTCACTTCTTCTTTTGCAAGAAGAGATATAGAGAGAGGGAAAGACAAAAGTAAAAAGTGAGAGAGAGAGAGTGAGAGAGAGAGAGATAAAGATATATAGATAAAGTGTGTGCAAATCGCACCGGTCCTATTGGTGCCGCTCCTATTGGTCGAGCAACAGTAACAGTAGCAGCAGGAGAGGACGATGACGGAACGCAAAAGTGCTGAGGATCGAGGTAATCGTCAACACGCGCGCCAACGGGCACGACCACTCATGTGGCACCCACCAAATTATATATATACACATATATATATATATATACACATATATATATATATATATACACATATATATATATATACATATTATATATATATATATACATATTACATATATATAGATCTGGTTTTTTTTCTCGATTTCTTGATTTCTTGTTTGCATTGCTCGCAATTTATCTGTACATTTTTCATCCTTGTTTATTATTTCTCTTCTTCACGTGATATATTCGCCAAAGGTGCGTGTGTGCTGTAAGTTGGTCCGAGGGAAAAGGAGGGCCCCCCTCTCACCCTCCAATCTTATCTCGCGTCCCTTCCTTTCCCGTTGGCTCGTGAGCACGCACGCGCGCTCTCTCTCTCTCTCTCTTTCTCTCTTCTTTCTCTTTTTCTTTCTTTAGAGAAACAGAGAGAGTGGCACTCTATCGCGCACGGCCTTGGCGGATCATTCACGAACTGGATTCGCCTTTGCGGGGATTCGAGTGTCGCTGTCCCAAGACTCTCTTACCGATCGCAGGTGGTCGACTTTCTGCAAGCATGTCTCTCTCTTCTCTTCTCTTCTCTTCTATTAACTATTCGCATTTATCTCTTTTTCATTTTGTATGTATGTATATATATATATATATATTTTTCCCCGTTCTCTGTTTTGTTCAGCCACGTGATTCCCCATTGCTATTTTTTTCGTCTGTTTGATATTCTTGCACATCTCGTATTTGCAAAACTTACGCTTGTCAACAAAAAAAAATACTCTTGGTAGAAAAATAATAAAAAAAATAAAACATACGGACAGGTATTTTATATATATATAAACGTATTGTTGTTAGCTTACGTGCTTATGATTATTTTCTGCTTTTATTTGTTACCAAATCGACGGAATATTTTTCGGATCAAGTCCGATCGTACGTACGATCGTAAGTTTTCGACGACGAATTTGCTTATCACGCATTTTGCGTTAACGATATTCATCGTCACGGATTATCTGACGCAAACCGGAATATATGTATGTGTGCATATATATATCTATATATTTTTTTTTTATTATTCTTTTTTTGTAAGTAGTAACAGTAAGTCGAACTAACTATAGGGAACTTTAACGTACGTTCCGATAAAAACTCGAGATAGTATGCTGAACGATAATGCGACGAAGAGGTGGGCGCGCGCGCGCGCGAGCTGGAAGAAGGTCGTGCCGATAGAAGAGTTAGCAACAATGATGATGACAAAGACGACAAATACGACGACGACAAATACGACGACCAACGACAACGACAACGAAAAAGATCGTTTCGATGGCAGCGTATCGTTACGTCACTCGTAAATCAACGCGTGCCGCAGATACCGATTCTCGTTCATGTCTATGTGTGCGTGTGTGTGCGTGTTACGTCATCCTGTCCTTAGAATCCAACCAACGACGAAGATGTGTGCGGCACTAGACTTAGACTAACCGTATGACGAAGAAGACAGTAAATTAAACTGTCCGGTTCAATCGCAAATATCGCGTTTATTTTCAGCTATATACCAAAACCCAACGACGGGGACTTTCCTTTTCGAGAATCATCAGTTTTACTTTTAATACTGTTTGATATTCGAAATAAAAATGTATCGAACTCGAGTTATCGTTTATTTATATAATTTCGTAAATGAACAACGAATAACCGTGAGGGACGGGGGACAGGGGAAGGTGTACCCATCAATTTGTCGGGTTCAGAATTCGTATAAGGGTGTATAAAATGAACTAACATTTTCTAACAATTTTGTCCTTTACTTTTTGACTTTTATCGATTGAATATACCGAGAACCATTTTTCCCCCGATCAGTTTTATAATTTTCAAATTTAGTACCACGTGTATACCACAAAACTACGTATATTCATTTACCCCCTACCCTCCCTCTTAATTTGAAAAGGGGTTTTTATACGTAGAAAAATATACAATAAATCTAGCGTCAATTTATACCGTGTTTGGTACCGCGTCATCTATTTAATCCCAGGGTTTAAATGTTACCAGGATATTTGGAAGTAAACGGAGAAGAAGAAAGACAGAAATACATACAAACATACATACAGATAGACAGACAGAGACAGATAAACATATAGAAATATAGATAGAAAGAGATAGAGATAAATTGAAAGAAGAAGAGAAAGCAGCATCCCCTTTAAGAGATAGACCTTAAAGTTCGAACGCGTGCACGTTTCTCTTCTTCGGATTTTCGTGAGAGATTTCTCTATTCTTAGCCATCCGGTGTGTCGGTGTAGGTTTCCGATCTACGCGAAAAACTTGGCGTAACGAGCGTGACGCGCGTGTGCAAGCGAGCAAACGAACGAACGAACCAACCAACCCAACCAACCAACGAATGAACGAATAAGAAAGAGCAAGAAAGCAAGCAAGCAAGCAAACAGTGTGTACCGTCTCACGAATATATATATATATATATATATATATATATATATCTATCTCTTTCTATCCACTTATCTATCTCTCCCCCTTCTACTTTTTCTTCTTTCCCACCCCCACCCAAACCCAACCCAACCCAACCCAACCCCCCACTGATACTTTGTGCAACACGCACGTATAGGTAGTTCCTACGCATCATCGTCAAATGCAACGCGCGAAACAAATTGTCCTGTACCCTGTCCTGTCTTATCCTATTTTTATTATTATATTGTCCTTCATTTAATTCATTCCTGTTCCTTCATTTTCGTTATCACTTTTTCTCTTATTATTATCTTCCGTTAATTAAAATTCCTGTTGTGTATTTTGATAAGTATCGTCAAAAAATGTCTCTATTAATAAATATTTGATTAGTGGTTGTTAATATTTTTACGAAATGTATCAACAACCAACTACGACTACGACTACGACTACGACTACGACGACGGGGTTATCGAACTTGACCTCTTTTCCGCTTTCGCGAAAACGGTGTCGTGCCACGTGCAACGTGGAAAATTGCAGAAAAAAATAACGAGAGAGAGAGAGACATAAACTTGGTATGAAAAGTAATGCCGGAAGTTTATGCTTATCGTATTATAGTTCACGTGTATACATTTAATATATAGATATATTTATGTATATGTGTGTGTGTGTGTGTGGATATGGATGTGTGCATATATCTATAGTCGATAGTCCAGCTTTTAAAAGTTCTATTAGCAAGCTGGAATATACATGTGTGTAGTATGTATACGTGTGTATACACGCGTCTGTCTGGCTCTGTGTATGTGTGTGTTTACAAGCGCACGCGTCCACGTTTTGCTGGAGGAAAACTATTGGATAGCTATGCACCGGCCGAGTTAAAATTACTGCTCATGTGTATACGTGTATCTATGTATATATATATATATATATATATGTATATGTATATATGTGTATATGTCGTTTACTCGGACGGTGGCGTTGAATCGCGAAATCGATGCCAACGCGTCTCGTTGCATTAGAATTTTCCCTGGTTTTCCTATATACGCGCACGAACTTTTCGTACACGCATTTTATTTTCCTTTTTTTTTCTTTTTCTTTTCTTTTCCACCGACATATTATTATTATGTTAAATTGTATAGAGGTATTCTAATTTATAATAAAAAAATATAAAAACAAAAGAAAATATATAGTTGTACGTAACGTATTCGTAAGATTTGCAGAAATTTATTCGCGAATGTAATTATTCGTTGAGTTGCGATAATCGTTGGAACGAATGTTGATAAAGAATGATGGAAGAACGTAATGGTATGTGTATATATGTGTGTTGAATATTCCAATATAATTTATTGAACCGATGATAAAATGATCGATAAAAATTCTTGGACAACCACCCTCCTTCCCCCTACGAGTCGTTTAAATAATTATTAACAATAAGGGATAACATTATTAAAACGTATTAACGATCAATTGATACACCTGTGTTTCAGGATTAAGTGAAGTCAACATGGAGGCCTGTGAAAAGAAACCACTGGTTAAAAATTTGAATGAACATATCGTCTGTCCACTCTGCAGGGGCTACCTCGTTGATGCTACAACCCTCACGGAGTGTTTACATTCTTGTTAGTATATTATACACACACACACACACACATACACGTATATAAAATATGAACAATAATATTCTTGCTAATCCCGCGAACGTGGAATGTTTTTCATATTATCGAACGTTCATTAATTATTCGAAAATCCATGGTTCCAAAGTTTTTTTTTTTATTCGACGCATCCTCCTCCTCCTCCTCCTTTTCCAAGATTTTGTCGCGTTCTCGATCAATATTTCCCGTCTGCTCGACCTTTCAATTATTTAAACCGTCGAACTCGTCTCTCTTTTTTTCTTTTTTTCTTTCTTTCTTTTTTTATCTGTCTTTCCGAAAACACTGTCGAATAATTTTTTTAGACGAATCTCAGAGTTAAAGATTATATTTCGTATATTCATTTCTGAATACTATAAGCTTTAATATGTTTGTTCACACAAACGCACGCACGCATGCACGTGTGGGCAGAGATTCGACTAGCCTATAGAAAATCGTATTTGCGGTTGGGTTTTTGTGGGCGTTAACTGCTACTCATCCTAAATACTTTAGTTTAGTTTATCGGATTGAAATCATTTCGGTTAAGTATAGAAAATTTGCGTTAGAATACATTTTTCTCTACAAAAATTCGTTTAATATTTTTAATACACTTTTTTTTTATTTATATGCATATCTCGTTAGAAAAAGAGATATATATTTCGAAACGCGCGGTGTGTGTATATATGAAAGATAATATAGAATTAAAAATATATATATAATATATTATTGATTGAAAAAAAAAAAAAAAACGAAGAAAAATGGTACCTAGAAATGGTACCTAGGAATATGAAATTTAGTTTGCAGAGGATGCATTGTCAGACGTTTGAGTAGCGGTGCCCGATTGTGTCCTGTTTGCAACGTATCAGCATCCCCACCACTTTTACCGGATGCACGACTACAGAGATTGGTGTATCTGGTTGTTCCGGGTTTGTACCGTTCGGAACTCGAACGCAGACGACACTTCCGTTTGGTAAATCCACAATGTCCGCCATTACCGCAACCGTTCGGTGCATTGGAGCTAACATTGGACGATTTGGTTAGTTTGAGTCTTCGAGAATTGACTGATACAAATAATGACGATATTAGAGGAGAAAGATCGTCGAAAATGGGTTTGGAAGAGAATAAGGGTAACGAGGGATGTAATATTCGGGAACCTACTACGAGATATATGAAATGTTCGGCAGCCGTGACGGTCCGTCATTTGATTCGTTTGTTAACCTCAAAAAGAGGCTGGGAAGAAACTAATTCCGGAGTTAACGTTATTAATAGGATTGAAATGACGTGCGAGGATTACAACAAAGGTTGTGGTGATCATTGGAAACCAAATGTTTTGGAAATGTCTTGGACGTTGTTGGACTTGGCTTGTATTTTCGGATGGAAACAGGTTAGTAAAAAGAAAAGTTTAAGTTTACAATAAATTTATCCATTATATCGTATCCGATTGTATTGTCGTAAAAAAGAAATATCTTTTCGTTTATTTCCTGTACGAAAAGTAAGGAACTCACGGGAGATTCAGAAGAAAAAGAGAGAGATAAAATGAGAGGTCCTATTTTGTTTTTGGGTTACAGGAGGCGCCATTGAAATTATTTTATCGTATCGTTCGCAAGGAAGAAACAACAACGGCATCAACTTCCAAATCAAATCCGTGCAACGAAGATACGAATAAGGACGGTCCTACGATAGAAAATATTCAAAGACCACCAACCCCGCCGCCGAGTCCGAAGCCAGTTCAAGAAAATGAAGTTGAATCACGTCGTACGTTTGGAACCGGCACGGAAACAGTTCCTCCACCTCCGCCTCCTCCTCCTCCTCCTCCTCCTTCTTCTTCTTCTTCGTCTATTCCTTCACGTGCATTGGAAAGTACGAAAGAACGAGACAAAGAGACGAAATCAAAGAAACCCCGTTGCGAGGTAACACCAGTGATGAGAGCTCCGGATCCCGTAGGCATCCCGTCGTCGGTCACGATGCAACAGAACAATAATAATCATGCTTCCGAGAGTTCAAGGACCAAGGAATTAGCTAGGTTGGAACATCGGAAGCGAAGGAAACGACGAAACAAACGAGTAATCGCGGAAATAACGACTACGCCGAGAGAGGATCTCCTTAAGTTGAAGGTCAGGTTAACTCCTTGTCCACCGAGAATTACTTCGAGCAATAACGGCGGTCAAGCTAAAGAGAAATTATTACAAATGAGGGCCGTAAGACGAGAAAAGATCAAGGCAAGCGCATTGAGTCAACAACGTTCGGTTAATTTACTGAAAGATGATAATAATATTGTCAAGGAAAATCTAATGGAATCCGAAGAAACGATAGAGGATATCATTGATTGTATACCGGACGAGGTGGTACGCGTAGCACAAAACATTCCCGTACCACCGCAGGATGAAAAGAAATCTAACGAAAAAAAGGATAATCAAAAATCGTCAGCCAAATTATCGATTCGTCAGAAGGAAGACACGCAGATCGAGACGCGTAAATTGTCTATCGAAGAAACCAAAGGAACGACAACAACGTTAACAACGACGACAACTACATCATCAACAGCAGCAGCAGCAGCAGCAGCAACAACAGCAATAACAACAATTCCAATTGAACGTCCAAAGAAAGACGAAGAAATTTTACGCAGGTTAGGTTTGGTCAAGATAAACGAGGCTAACGAATCGACGCGGGAGAAAACGAAACAACGGGGCCAAAATTATAACGACAAGCCTAACGATCTTGATCGGGAAAAATTGGAAAAACAATTGCGCGAGAGTAAAGCCAATCGGGTTAGGAGTTTATTAGCGGAAAAACAAATGCGCGACGCTTTGAAAGGTATAATGTCGACGAAAACGAAAGAAGAAGTTAATAATACATCGTCGAGTTCGATGCAATTAACAACAACAGCAGCAACAGCATCAGCATCACCATCATCATCAACAACATCAACAACAACAACAACAACAACAACCGGTAATACAATTCCCTGCCCAAAAAAGAAGGGTCCACCTCCGTTGGCACCTTTACGAGCGGTCAAACCTTCCTCCTCCTCTTCTGGATTCACCGTGACGAGTACAATGGTGGATTCGAACAACCCAAAATACGAGACACCTTTAGATCTGAGCAGCGGTGGCGGTGGCAGTGGTGGGACTGTTAACGACAACGTACTCGATTTGTCATCGACGTTGCAGAGTTCCTCCGTAGGTTTTTCAGCGTCATCAGCATCCTCCTCGCCATCTTCTTCTTTTTCCTCCTCAAATTCATCATTATCCTCCTCGTCCTTATCTTCCTCATCTTCTTCTTCTTCGTCTTCTTCTTCATCATCTTCTTCTTCTTCATCTTCGTCTTCGTCCATCTGTATACCACCTTCTTTGCCTTTACTCAGACCCCAACAAACCAGCCTCAATATGGGAAGCTTCATTCGCAAAACTAAGGAAACGGAACAACGTAAAGGACAAGATACTAATCTACGAACATTATCGGACGCTGCTGTTTCACGTCTAAGCGGGTGCATCAACGACAAGAATTCAATGGTGGAACCACTTCTACTTGGCTCTAATAGTATCGCTGCGAGCAAGGTTGCATTACGTATCCCACAACCACATCATCGGTTATCGTCTAATTATGGTATGAAAAATAAACCAAATCTTGGTATAAGACACATACCTAATCCACAAGCTGTTGTTGCTTCTCAATACAGAAATCAAAGAGCCATTTATTTCAACAGCCTTTCCCAGCATCCGCCGTAACACCTATCGTCATTCGTGGATCATTTAGCCACGTAGGCTTTTACCAAGCCGCACCTATCCTTATTATTATTATTATTATTATTATTATTCATCCGCCTTCTTATCTTTCTTTCTTTTTTTTTTTTCTATCTAATATATATATATATAAAAGAAATACCAAAAGAACATTCCTATAACATTAATCATGTCGCTCAAATATTATAATATTTATCTATTATGCCTAAAAAAACATCATATAACATATAATAGTTTAAATGTAAATGTCGCCGAGTGGTGTTGTGTAAAATATCTGCAACTAAAAATCCTAACTTCCCGATTATATTAAATATCAAAGATTTTACCTAACTCGTATGCGATACAAACTGCCAATTAAGAAATGAAATAACGAATATTCTTATTCTTACGGTGATATCGCCTAGATATTTTTTTTTCCTTTGTAACAATGTGTTTCCTATAACGCTATATAGTATAGCATGCGTGCATGATGGTCTCTCTCTCTCTCTCTCTCTCTCTCTCTTGTGATAAAACCGAATAGTAACATAATAACGTTCGAATTTCAATTCCAAAGCAAAACTTTATTCAGTTATCCTATTTTTCTTTTTCTTTTTCTTTTTTTTATTACAAATCAACACAAATATATTTTTAAATAATATACTTTCTTTTATTAACCCATTTTTAAACGAACAGGTAACATTCGATATGGGAAAATAATCGATTTGTACTTTTTTTTTTTTTGTTTTTTTTTTTTTTTTCGAATGAAGCTCAATTCTAAGATTCGAATGGGTTAAAAATGTTCATTTAATTTACAAAATATTATTAAAATATATTTGTATAAGAATAATAATAATAATGAAATAAAGTAAAACAGAACGAGAAAATACTTTCCTACGAGACGAACAAACCAAACCAAAAAAAAAATAAAATAAAATAAAATAATAAAAAAAAAAGAAGAAAGATGATCGATATATTATTATATCGTTCGAAAGATCTAAGACGAATTTTTCTCGTTTTATTATTATTAATTATCTCCCCGCGCGTTTTATGTGATATATTAATTAATTATTTTCGTTGGAAAAAAAACCCACAAAAAAAAAAACAAAAAAAGGAAAAAACAATTTATATTATCGTCATCGCTTCCTCAACCCTCCCCAATCCCCACCCCCCTACCGGTGCGTTATTATTGAAAAGCACACGGGGGTGTCGTGCATATCTACTTTGTCGTCTTCGTTGAAAAAAACCGAAAACGCCATCGAGAAACCCGTATTGTTACTGTATACCTAGTTAATATATGTGTGTGTACGCGTGTATGTGTGTGTGTGTGTGTGTTAAGCGTTACGAAGATGACGAAAAATAAACGATAGAATGGGGTACAGGGGGGAGGGAAGTGAGGGTAGTTAGGGGAAAAAAAAAATTAAGAATAAGAAAATTTAAAGAGAAAAAACATAAACAACAATGGGAAATTGTTTAACGTGTTAATTGTGATCTCCGCAGGATTAATTGCAAAATATTTTATGATCGTTGCTTGAATTCTTTTTTTTTTACGACAAAATTTAATTACACGTGCTATTACAAAAAGAAGGGGGAAAAGAAAAAAGATCTAACCGATTAATCCCCCCCTCCCCCTCCCCCACCAGTTCAAACGATAATTTATTAATGAGTGTATTACTCGTGACGTGTGAAAAAAAAAAAACAAAAAAAAAACAAATTGAAAAATGTTTTGTGTTTTTAAGACGAGTATACTCGTCGTCAAGTTCACATTTTCGTGAAATAATATTCAAAGAAAGAAAACCCAGCACCATTATACAATTGATGATTTGTTAATTGGTTAAATATTACAAACGGATAGTAAAGATAAAAAAAAAAAGTAAGGAAAATATTGTTATGATAATTATTATAATAAACATTTTTGTGTTCTACGACGATTAGAGAAATGAAATCTAATTTAAATAAATATGACACAACAATGAACAATAAAATGTAGTATATTGTTTAATGACGACGATTTAATACGCCAAAAATTGATAAATGTTTTGTAAAAATGTGTCATATCGATCATTCATTCATTCATTCATTCATTCATATTGTCACGGTGTCTTACCCCATTCGTTATAAAAAAAAAAACAAGGAAGATTAAAAAGAACAACCGATGAATGAAATGAAACAAATGTAAAGAAAAACCAAAAATTAATAAAAAATAAAAAAACAACAACAACAATAACAACAATAAATGTTTCGTTGTAAAATTAAAAATCAATCGTTCTTCGTGCTCGTGTGAGAAAGAGAAAGAGAGAGAGAGAAATAAAATTAATTTCTGACGGAGCAGATATTATATAAGAAAACATATACATATACATATACATATATATATATAAATATATATAAATATACGCCCACATAAATATACATACCGCATATAAGTAGAAGATGTTACAAAGAAGCAAACGGTGGTTGAACCAATGAACATAACCGAAGACAGCAGATGTCTCGTATCACCATAACCGCCCTTGCGTCTTTCTTATCCTTTGTTTTTTTTTTATTTTATTTTGTTTTTTCTTTTGTCGTCCCTTTGTTTCTTCCCCCTTTTTCTTTTTTTTCTTTTTTTTCTTCTTCTTTTCCTGTTTTCCCGTTCCTCGTTAGGTAAAAACCCATGAAAATAAATAAATAAATAAATAAAAAAAGAAAAGATAAAAAAAAAAAAAGAAAAAATATTTAGAACTTAGATAAAACCTATAGTGAAAAACTTGTACTTCGTAGAGATGCCAAAGAACGAAAGTGGATTGTGTGCAATGATGTATTAGTGCAATTTAATTATTTAATATAATATAATATATACGTGAAAATATATATGAAACACAACAAATTTATATATATATATATATATATAAATATCACGGTGTCATGGTAGTTGAGAAAGAATAAAAAAAAAAAAAAAGAAAAAAAAAAAGAAGAAAAGAAACAAAGTCTCAAAAAAGGCAAAATTTTTGTAAACGAAGAAACGATCTTTTTTTTGCGAAACCTTATTATACTAGTATTGAAACTCTATGAGAATGATAAATAATAAATATCATTTAGTATGCGTGCGTGTCGGAGTATGTCTGTATGTGTGTTGTATGTCCGTGTCCAAGTTAGACAAAGAGATACTAAAGTATAGAAAAAAAAAAAAAAAAAAACAACAACTCGATATATTGGCTATAGAAAATTCTAAAAATAAAAACCTCCCCCAATGTCTATGTCAATATCGGTAATAAATGGGGCACCGTAGTTATAGTGTATAAGTAAAGTGAGAATTTAACTACGATTGTACTGTATTATTATACCGAGTAACTAACTTTTTAGTATGACATGATAATGATAATGATAACGATGATGATAATGATAATGATGATCATGATGACGATGATGAGATTTTAATGGGGGGGGGGAGGGGAGGTGGCAGGCATTAAATGCTATATCAAAACTGTACGATCGTGTTTTCGTTGATCGAATAAATGAATAAAGGTTTAATCAATAACAAAAATGAAATGTTTGAAATTTATGCATAAAACCAATTCCTATATAAACAAGAATGAATGTCTTTAATACGTGAGTATAAATCAAATTGATTAGATTAATTGTTTGTATGTTTAATATATTAATTGAATAATTGAATGAATGTGTAGTAAACTTTGATAAGATCAAAGTATTCAGAACGAGTATCGAGAAAAAGTAAGTAAAGTTAGTTAAATATTTATTAATTAGAATTATTATCAAAATGAATATAATATCACGAATGGAAGTATCAATTTGTATGTTTTTTAATAAATAAAAAAATAATTTTTTTTCTTATACAATTTTTAATCGTATAGTTTAGTCACACATTATATACACGTGAATAATACATCGATCCATAGGTAAGATGTTTTCTGAAAGGATTCGAACGATTCATTGTTTAAAGTCGGTTTAACCTACGCGAATTTATGTCAAAGTTACGTAGGATGCAATACTATGCACAATTTTATCCTTGCCTTTATATCATCCGTTGTGTTAAAATAATCAAACAAACATACGATTTAAAATAATAATATTTGGAAATCATTTAATACATATATATATATATATATATATATATATATATAATTTTATTTTATAATTCCAACACACACAAAAATACGAAATT